TCCTAGAAGCCTGAGGGTTTAGTATACTCTGCAACTGGAAGCCTCTGAAGCCTATCAGCCCAACACGATTAGCTTAGGTTCCACAACAACAGCAGCACTGGGTACGTCAACCATATCATCAGGCCTGGCAGTTACGACTTCCTCGTTATCACCGTTTATGGTGAAGGATACCATTCGGGAGAGTTGTACGAACAAGGCAAGCTACGACCCCGGACAAATTTACTTGCCGAAATTGAAGTTTAGATGTCAAGAAAATGTGACTGTACACAAGCAAGACCCTCTCCCCTCCCATTCAGAGGAAGACCCTTCCGTTTCGATAACAAGTCTGAAATGATCGCAGGGAATCCTAGTGCGCTCGAGCGAAGAGACTCAAGATTTTCCAAGATTTCAAGATTAGCGGAGCGAAGCGTTGCATGTATTTTTACTACAGTATTTTGCACCCCTTTTTCCTCGTACCTCGTGATGGATGGTAGTTGGCAGCAAGGCAACCCCTACACGGGGAGTGGGCAGACACCGACCAATCCTATGATGCAGCAGTGGGCTAATGTAATACTGGAAGAGATATAGCAGTAGTAGTAGTAGTAGTAGTAGTAGTAGTAGTAGTAGTAGTAGTAGTAGTAGTAGTAGTAGTAGTAGTAGTAGTAGTAGTATTAGTAGTAGTAGAGAATACACAGTGAATCTCGGTAGTAGAACTCGAGAGGCGCTTATAGTGGCAGAATTCGGTACCATGATTCATTAAGGCACTAGTACATCACTCGAGCTTTCTATTTTTTAGTATTACGCTGCAGCCCAAGCGAGCCAAGCAGCAGCTGCGGCCGCATATGCTGCTAGCAGTGGATACTCTCAGGCAGGTGGGTGGGCTCTTAGTCCCACACGGAAGCTGCCCCTCTCCAAACCGAGTATCCATAGGTTCGTTCCCGGCAACCTCCATCATTAACAGCGGGACGTATGGACTGAAGCCTGTCAAGAAGTGCTTCCTACACAACAAGCATAACAATGGCTGTAAGAAATGCCGAGAGTATAAGGAATGGGTAGTAGGGGGGTTTGGGACTCTCTGCACCTCTATCGGTAATGACGGATTCCACCGCAGTGTCGGGCCTGCTGAGTCGCTTCGAATGTTCCTAGGACTATGAATATGCTCATTTACGGTACGCCCCCCATGTTCGCTCATCCTCCATCAGTTTGTATGCATACGTATCAGTGGTATCGTCATAGTATAACGCATATTTATAAAACTTATGATTTTTTTTATGAAATATATTCATAACTATAGGTTTTGAAGGAAGCTTATATGGCGCTATGAGTATACGTTGGGGGGGATATGCATATGGTCAACTGCATATGTTGGTGATAATATGAAAATTCTGGGGAATTTTAGGGGGTTTAATAATCGTTTCTGTACAATTCTACCCGAATTAGTATGTTAAATTCTATTGGCGAGGAAACTCCTGAGCTCAGGTGAGGAAAGCGAACATATATTCCTACTCCAACACTGTATAGGAAACTCCTGAGCGCAACTGAGGAAAGCAAACATATATTCCTACTCCAACACTGTATAGGAAACTCTTGAGCTCAGCTGAGGAAAGCGAACATATATTCCTACTCCAACACTGTATAGGAAACTCTTCTGAGCTCAGCTGAGGAAAGCGAACATATATTCCTACTCCAACACTGTATAGGAAACTCCTGAGCTCAGCTGAGGAAAGCGAGCATATATCCCTCCTAGGAAACTACCGAACCTTGCTGAGGGAAGCGATTACATATATTCTGACACTGTGGACTAAGTTCTCGACGATCAGCCGTTAATCGAATTATCACATATCAGGTAAAGCACGAGCAAGAGATGCTGAAACAGCAACAATCATTGCTAACAGCTAACGTTAACGACACCATCATGGGAACATTACAGCTGACTAACACTACCACCTATAACTACCCACAGATGGTAAATAGGCCTTCGCCTTGGGTGATGGTCATCCTTTATAATTTTCAGTTACACCAGCAGCTTGCCAAGTCGGCGTATTATCATTCGATCCAACCGTAAGAAGGGGTAGGGTATATGTGTGTTGCTGAGATTGTGGTTCAGATTGGATACTCCCGAGGCCATCATTGACGAGATAAAGACGCGATGCAAAGATGCCGAGCCTTATGCTCCTGGGTAAGTAGTGAAATTATAATCAATGAAAAAAATATGAAAATGGATGACGAAATTTTCCTTCGGCTCGGTTTTATATGCCTACGTCAGTTCCCATACGGCACCGTCGACGATGTTTTGTTGTTTGTATCGGCTCTTCGTGATGCGAATCAACAGCAAGGTCTTGGGTCAGCTGATCAACTATCATGGAGCTCCCTATGTTAGGTAGGAGAGAATCTTTGAGGTTGTTGCGCACGGTGAAGATTCTGTTCGTTTCAGATGTGCGGGTTTTCTCTATGTACGGTTTGGCCTGTCGCCTAGGGATTATTGGAGCTTTCTGCAACCACACTTATTGGTAGGATGGTAGAGCGGGTGGTTGTCAAGCGGGAGGTATCGGGTTCGATTCAGATGATGAGGAGTTTACACCTGGTTGTGAC